AATGACTGTGAATGATGAGTCAGTTCGAGCGTTGTGGCGATAGAATAAATACTCCCTCCTTTCGTGGATATGTGCATATATTCACTTCCTTCCGCTGGAAGACAATGTTTTTACCAAAAAGATTCTCCGGATATCCACTTTTACTTTGTAATTCAAAACCAACGTTAAGTTTCGCACTAAGTTAGCAGCTACAGGACAGGAGATTACCCTCAGCGGAAACCAATTTCTAGGTGTCTGCGTAACTTTAGGTAATGCATCATAGAACTAAGCGGCACACGTTGACTGTCTAACTATATATTAAATGTTGTGCAACTGATCAAGTCGTACATCCCACATACTAGTTAGTCCTACAAATAATGAATGTACCGTACAAGCGTTCAATTTGATTTGCATACCTAACTTTTAAACTTTATGCCTATATGTGGTATACACATTTAAGGTTGATAAGCTGTGTGATGGAATCTGTAAAACACGCGCTACTTTCATGACTGAAGCAAGAAGAACGCGTCAAGCAGGATGAAGTGAAGTCGTTAAAGTTTGTTAATTCTTATTAGATGCATAAAACCGTAAATAATTGAATATTCATTAAGTAGAGATATGCAGATACTGCAGTTACTGATCATAAAGGTGATGGACATTAATTAGCACCACATGATTCAACGGCATATTATAAATAAATAAGGATTTTTTCTTAGCTCATTCATTATCAGGTAAAGTCTACTTGATGATGTAATTTCATAGTAACAGATTAATTAAGTAGCTATCACCTCCAAGTTACTATGTTTACTTGTACTACAGACTTGGCGTTTAGCAGCATACAGAGGTACAACAACTCACTAAATAAGGCAAATTTCGGGTATAGAAAAGTACAAAATTAATTATTCAACTTGCTAAGTGCTACTACTGTATTGAAACAGATGCGAAATCCCACGTATTACTTCACAAACAACAACCTCAAATCTACAGTAATCCTCTATGCCGTTAGCCTAAGGTTCACCTGTATTAATCCAACTTCACATATTACAATAACGCATGCTAAAGCTAGGCATTGAAGCAGTCCAGAAGATATAGCAGTTAAAGGTATATTAAACATTTCACTAATTTTTGCAGGAGAAAGTTTTGATGAAGCGTATTAGTGTTAGTTTGATTGACCAACATTTTCTCTGATTATTTCATATTTGACAACCTTCAAGCACCTAAAAAATAAAGCATATGTAATCATTAGCAGGACATGAAGTTATGAAAGATGAATTTACATATTAGTACGCCAAGTGGATACATTGATTCTACTAAAATTTTCGTGTAAATAAAAGTATTTGCAGTCCATAACCGACTTTTATATTATCACCATACACATAAGCAGACATCATATGCCTTCCTTCCAGTATCACAGGATTATACACAAACTTCAAGACAATCTCTGGAACATCCATACTGTTAGATAAGGCGTTATTCTGCCATTTATTGCATTCCATGCAGATAAGAGAGGTAGATAAACCTCACACCAATTACTTCTACTTTATAGAAAGTATTGCGAATGTGTAACTTGGAAATTATTCCACAACTTAAGTAGTGCCTACTGACCATGGTTTTGTGAATCCTAAAGAAATTATATTCGCATATTTAGGAAACTATGGCCGTCGAGTATAGACTGCACATTTCTCAGCTCTAAACAGTTATACACAGCGTTAAACACACAGTGTGTCACAGTCAGATCACATGACACGAACACCAACATGACATGTCAGAAAATGAGTTCCGGTCAATCTATAAAACATTTAACACAATTTTATTAAAAAATTATTCACAAAATATTTAACAAGCGAAAAATCAACCAACTTTCTGGATACGTGTCCTTCAGCACAGAAGAACATTCACCATATGCTTTTGCTCCTAACATCTACAAGCCTGCTCAATTTCTTGTCAAGATGCTACCCCATGGGCCATACACAAGTTCACCAGACATCTTACAGGTCAGCCAGCATTTTCAACAGGTTCTAATCCTTCAAGCCACTTCTCTCTGAAATGTCACTTATATACTTCACGACAGTCCTTCTATCTAATTACTATACTCAACTCCCTAGGCCTTTAATAAAGCTGAAATTTACTCTTTTCATTCACACTCTTTGCTCGCGTAAAGTTCGGTAGCTTTGATGATGGAGAAAACATACCAACAACACACATGTTTGAGAATAACTATATTTTCATCGAAAACGTCATAGTTTTCCATGGTAAAACCAATATGGCTAGCATCATACATTGCAGATTTGTACTATCATTTCAAGTACTATATAGCTTCTTCTTCTTGTATTTATCTTGTAAATATACTTCCAATAATGTATTATTCATGACTGCATTTATGCCATTTTGCAGCTGAGCAGGATTTTCTTCTCTTCCTGAAATAGCGTTCAATCACATCGGGGCATAGCACTCACACAAATATATGCTGTTTATCGATTGGTCATAACTATCATCAGGAAATGGAACGAAGTTTGGGTTGTCGCTCGACTTCGATGGTGACCTTCGTGAGGGATTTACAAATTAACATTTACAAGAACCTGTTCCGATTGCTTGTACTATAATTCAACAATTTAAACTTTTGAAAAAGTGATAATCTATCCTAATTCACAATTGTAATTTGTGACATAATTGATTGTGCCTGTAAAACTGGCATGCATTTCATGTAAGCTTACCCGTTTATACGAAATACATATTATTATTACACCTATGCTGCCTATACAATACCGTATAAGCCCTCCAGTGAAATAAATGGAAAGGCTGTAACGAAGAAGAGGTATACTAGGGATCGAAATCCCGCAGTTAAAGTTGCCCACGAACCTTTAGATCAAGTCTCATCCACACACGTGGGTAGCAGGCAGACACAATCGACAACAGACAGCGAGGAAGGCCCCAATGAATGACGTAATTTAGCCACTCGCATAAAGCAAGATAAGGAAAACGTAATGGCCACGCTGTCCACGAAGGACAGAAAGACATTGACGTTGTAGAGCAAGAAAGTCACGGCAAGCAATCCTGATTTCTCTGACAGGTCGCTCATTCTCCAAAAAGTGGAAGAATTATCGGCCTCCGATCCCAAGGTCAGGTTCAAGCAGGACATTAACTTGGTCAAGCCCTTCTTAGATAAGCTACAACAGTATCAGGCGTAACTATACACAGCTTGTATAGAATCGGCCAAAAGACTGACTCGACAGTAAATCAGATTTCTCAAAGTCGTACTAAATTGCAAAGAAGAGAGGACTGCCATCCTAAGGAACCTCCAAACACTTAAAGGGTCAGGCATATACGTCCGTACCGACTTATTCCTAGCATATACTATGTAAAACATCTTCGTCACCACCCGGAGGTAGCATGCGGTCTGACGCGCCGTCATCTCCACTCCTCTTCAGAACACCAGAAGAGCATCTACGACCGGTTCGCTCGCGGACCCACGTATTCCCTCGGTGATTACGTCTGGCTACATTGACTGTCAGTCCCCGCTAGTTCGTGCCCAAAATTCTACGCACCATGGCAAGGGTCATCCGAGATCGTCCAACACCGACCCCCGACTACGTACATCCTGCGGAATCTACGACGCCCTCATCTCCGCCCACTATAACCAACTGAAACCGCATCATCCCAACCGCCGCCTGCCACTAGCTTCGTTGAGATGCCGTCTGCCAGAGGCACGGCATACCCTATACCACCATCAGGCACTGAGGACAGTGCCCACAGAAGGGAGGAGGCAATGTAATGGGACAAAAACCAGTATAATATCACTAAATAAGTTTTTCTTTTCTTCTTTTGCAGAAACCAATGCCAGCATAAATTCATTGGAGCAAGAAGAGGAGCGTTTAGCTGGACTTGTTCTAACAGATGACAATTAACTTGTAACCGCTCAATTTAAAACCTTGCATGCTCATAATATAGACCTTTTACGGCACTCTGCGTTCTTCTTCTCTGTCTGTGACCGTGTGGATTATCTGTTACAAATTGGTGTCGGAGGTGTCCAATTCTACAGTCAACATGGAATCTTCATCAGATTACGGCCTCCCCAAGCTATTTCCAGAAGAAAGTGAAATCACCACACCCACTGTGCCCACGTTGCCCCGTCCTCCAACGTTGCAGCTGTCATCAGACTCTCCCAGATGGAAGAAGCGCATACAGGCATTCCTCAGCATATCTCCACCAGCCCACCATACCCTTCATGTCCTAAACGCCCTCTCTGAGGATGCCTTTGCACGTGCCGATGCCGCCGGCTTCAGCAGCACCAAATCCATGCCGGAAAACTGGCAAATACTCGACAGTTGTTTCGATTTAAATTTGGGCTCAGACCATGCCCTCCTACAGTTCTTCAGCCGTCGACAATTAACCGGGGAAAGTCCCCTAGAGTACTTCCACGCCTTACAATTTATGGCAGCTGGAGTGGATGACAACGCAGATCCCAATCACAAAGACCGGAGTCATAAACACTTCGAAGTGGTGTCTACAATCTCAAGTGATTCACTTAAGAAGGGTTTGGACAGTCACAGAAATTTACTAGAAAACGATTATCATAGGCTCCAAGCCTTCTATACTCACCCAATAAATCTGAAATCTGAGTAAGTTCAAACGCTCGACCATCTTGGATATTGAAATTGGTGGGACTGTAAACGTTGTGTTACACTACCTCCTTATGGTAAGTTCAGTGTGACACTAATTTACGTAATTCAGGTATATCGCAAAATAGCCAAATATGTTTTGACAGGTCCACCAGACTGGTTCCAGTCAAACGTAGTGGCCGTCACAAATTGGCAAACCCATAACAATGGAGGACGTGATCTTGTTGCATTTACCTCTCGTTCATATATACACGCTTTCATCATTAAAAAAGAAACGAACTTGGAAAATCAACAGAAATATTCGTGGAGTCGCGTGGGCCAGATAATACCCCATCAAGACAAGATATCGGCAGTAACCTTTGATGAGTGTGCTTGTGTGCGTGTAGTTTCTTGTGGCCCTTGATGGTTTGGTCCGACGTTGGAAGTCAAGGATGGATGCTGGAGACCGCGTTTAATATACAAAAAGTGCGGGGAAATACCAACCCATCAGCTGTCAGCCGTTTCTCCTACTCTGCAAATGAGTCATTCAACTTCGTGGGCACAGATAAAGGGTTACTTTTAGTATGGGTTGCTAACGACTGTGTGACAAACAAATCTTACTATGTATCTGAAAAATTTGAAAACGATTGTGTTGTGATGTGCGCATGGGAGAAATCTGCAATAGTTCCTTCCATTTCGCGAGTTGCTGTCGGTTACAAAAAGGGAATTGTGTGTGTTTATTCATTTAAACCGTCGGATATTTCTTCAACACGCTTCATGAGATCCCATTCGTCGAGCTTATCGAAAATATGGGCGATAGATTTGCTTCAAATACCGATGACAAGTATGGTATGCTAGTGTAAGGTTTTAATGTCAAATATTCATTGATTTATACGTTTATGTTTTTGTCCAGTCAATAAATAATCATGTTTTTCAGTCCTTTTTATTCTATATCATTGCGTTCACCTGACACGAGGTGTAGAAATAACCAAAAACTAACTGTTAAACACATTGATGATAAACGCAGACATTCATTTGACAAATAATCATTATCATTTGAAGATGATGATGATGCATTTAGAAGAAGATTAATACCAATCCAACACCAAGCAAGTTGTTCAATCTCTTTACCAGGTCGTATTTTAGAAATTCCAGCTTCACGATGTACCATATTCGTAGCATTTATCCATTGTTTATTTCCAATATTCAATAGAATTGGAAAGAATGACTTTTCAACTGAACTTGAACGATGATCGGTTAACCGTTTTATACACTTTTCTGTGTATATTACAACTTCTGATGATGATGATTCTAAACGTAAATGAGCCAGAATTAAAGCTTCTTTAACTTTGTCATAACTTAACAGTAATTCAATTGCTTCGTGAATACGATGTGCACACACCAGTAGGGTAGCAGAGACGAGAGTATCAGGATGAGTCCTTTGCATATTTCTTATCTATCATTATTGCATTTTTGAGTGGAAAAAGGCGGAGAAAAAAACAAAAAACAAAATCACGATTACACAAAGAAAACAGGCTTACTCATCAAGCATTTTGTATATTCAAAGTAAAATATTTCGCAAATGAACACTATCGATTACCAATAAACAGACAGTCATACAGATTATCACAAATTTCAGCTTAAAGGAGAGTTATGAAAAGATATTTCAAAACTATAACTAAATATTCTCAACATTATGTAACCTAAGTACCCTAACGACAACTGCTACCTACCATTACGTTGTGGTCAGGCTTGCATATCACAATGACCCAATAAGGTACACTGGCTGGAACTAGTGTTCTCGCAGGTCCTTGCATCCCAGGAACAATGTTACGGTGGCGAATTGACAAAAAAACAGTTACTGGCATAGAGCAAGATTTTTTCAGAGAAGTAGCATTAGCCAGTCCCAGCACGTTGACTGCCGACGAAATCTCAGTATGGATACAGAAGACTTGTTTGGCATTTGCCCGCCAACTTAAACCATCTCTGGTGTAGACGTGATATCTCGCTGACTGTCGACCAAAGGACGTGTAAACTACTCACCAGTTCACTCCCATCTACTCCTTTATATATGTGAGTGAAACGTGACCACTGACAGTGAAAGACATGAAAAGCCTGGCTAGCTGTCTTTCATCATACGTGTCTGTGTTTTACCCACATCCTGTGTTAATTGGTATGGCATGATAGAGTGAGTAATATTGTATTGAGGTTAGGCATCTGTCGAGTTCTAGGTAAGAAAAGGCAGGGGAAGACAATCGACGAGGTTGTGATGTTACATCGATTGATATGGCTAGGAAAGGTGTTACGCATACTAGCCTAGCCATCGATCGCCTTCGTCGACAGGCAATCTTACCTAGCTGACATAGGATCGGTGAGGTCGGAAAAAAGCTACTGGTGGTGAAACGAAAACGTGGCTTCGTCAGTAAGTGAAATCCATAACATTTAGTTTAGGCCAGCCAGCGACGTAGAGAGGTGTAGACTGGGTGACTGGCTGGCTGTCTGGTTAGGGTCCTCGAGATGGAAAAAACCAAATGACTACTGGAGTCAATTGGTCACATGACTCGAAGTCGTTCTCAGTGATAGCGCAGATACATTCACTCACTCTTTGTGATTTGCCATATCCAATAAAACTCTATTGTTCTTTCATATTACTATTCTCCTCTTCTCACCCACACTTTTGTTTATTATCTCTCTCTCTTTACTCTCTTCTCTGGCTTTGTGTAGTACATGGAGAGAGTGTGCCAACTGGGGCTGCTGCACATTTCTGCAAAGTTCTACGTTGAAACAAGTCAGCCAGTCACACCTCTGTTTACTGACTATATTATGCATTTCTTCTGCTTTCTTCTCTTGCTTTGTGTGCTACATGGAGTGTGGCGACTTGAACTGCCGCATATCGGTGCAAAGTTCTATGTCGAAAACCGACCGACCGATCAATCAAATCAAGCTATGGAAAATAATGGAATTATATAAACGAAGTTAGAAAGTTGTGTGAGTAGTGTCTTGATATGATTATGAGTAATAATTCGTAAATATTACTGTATAACAATGTGAGACTTTATCAAAATAAATTTTACCCACAATGGAATTACATTCTACCACAGTGCACAAGTTTTATTCTTACAGATAGAAATGTAATTACAATAACAAAAAACAGAATGATTACCATTGGACCAAATGTGAAAGATGGCAAAAGGTAAATATATCACATTGTGAATGACCTTCCATGATGTTCCCAAGTGTCACAGACCATTGACTTCGGTACCTCAAGGATTATAGTTGCGTAAGCTAAACTGCGCTACATAGTTCAAACAAACAGTCAGTGACTCCATGGATTCCTGTCATGTTATGTTTGATCACTCCAAATAATACGCCGCACAACTCAATGCTATTTCAAGCAAACATCTCTAGTCGAAACAATCAATCGTAAACATGAACCTGAGCCAACCAGGGCGTGATAGGAGTCTACACACGTGTTTAAGAAGGAGTGGCAGCCTTCTACTGACCCCCACCAAAGATAGTCTATCGCTGTGTCGTCTATTTGAGTCCAACGATGATTCGTTTAAGGAGGTCGCCAACATAGACACTGTCTCTCTATGTGCCTAAAGTTAGCGCTGACTAGGGACAGATGATTGTCTTAAGAGAACTGTAGAAGACGATCACCGTTCACAGTTCACCGGCAGGGAACTCCCGCGTAACGTTTCTACTTGAGCATTGAAGTTGCCAGCTAAAATCACTACGTCTGAGTGTCTTGCTTTATACACCAAACTAGACAGATTTTCGTAGGAATGATTCTTTAATTCATCCGAACTGCAGTCCACTGGGTGGTAAGCAGAGACTATGAAAAGACACCTACTTTACTTTACTTCGGCTATCTCCTACGGGAGGATGAGCCGGCTTCATGAACATCTCGAATCATCGCTGCCCACTCGCGGCGATCTGATGGAGAGTCGTTTGTAAGAGAGTTCATGAAGTTTCATGGGAATTTGGTACGAGTGATGTCCCCAGAATCGCTCGGCCTTTTGTTTGAGAGTGCAGCTCTAGCCTTTACACAGCCAAGTGTGACCTACAAGGCAGTAGAAGTAGAGTAGGGAGTCCACTATCCATTGGCAGCCGGTGACCGGAGTTCGGTTCATACGCTTTTTCGAATGGAACCAGACATCCAGGACATCCAACAAGCCCTTTGTCCATACGTCTGCGGGGAGCTCCAGTGAGTTTCATACGCCAGTCGTTGGAGGTTTAGAATCAGGGTTTAGCCATCTCCCCTAGACTGTCATCCAATGGACAGTCAACCCGGTGAAGAGCGCCGCGCATCCACTTTCGTCCTCTCACTTTGGTGAAAACACCTCCGCCACGCGAAGGCAGTGAGTAGGACTTCCTCAGGAGAGGCTATGTAAGACGCCCGGTCATATGGGAGCATTTCAAGAGGTGTGCGGAGGGAAGGCCAATTCGCAGCGCAAGGCACCCACCCCCGACCATCCTGAGGCTTTGGAGACAACAACGAGTAACGTAGTCCTTTCTTCTTCAAACGAGCCCGTTCACACAGACCACACAAATATGGCTATCTCCAAGGATCCAGTCAATACAGGATTTTTCTGCCCCAACACTAAGTGCCAGCCATCCCTACGCCTACGAGTCATCGCAACTGCACAGTCAAAACAACTGGTAGCTCCGTATGCGTAACACATATACTGCCCATCACCACATAACAAACAGTACATAGCCAGATTGACTAGTCGCCTCTCTTTACATAATACCATAGAAAATAATCAAACACTGGTAGCTTCAAAATACACTGACGAATTAAACTTGAGAAATATCAAACTGAATTAACTAATTGAAACCGTCAGGCGGCCTAAGGATACAATATCCAACATCATTTTTACAGACCAGAGTGACTGACTGGTTTCAACATAGAACTTTGCACCGATGTGCAGCAGTTCTAGTCGCCACACTTCACTTAGCACAAAGACAGAGAAGAAAGTAAAAAGATACGCAAAATAGAGAAAGTAAACAGAGATATGAGGCAGAAAGAATAGTAATATCGAAGAAAAATATAGTTTCATTAGGTATTATAAGTCACAAGGAGTGGATGCATCTGCGCCACTGAGAACGATTTTCAGCCATATCACCAATTGTCTCCAGCCATTGGTGTTTACCGTCCCGAGGACCCCAACCAGTCAGGAAGTCTACACCTTCCTACATGGCTAGCTTAAACTAACTGTTGTGGATTTCATTGACTGATGAGGCCATGTTTCCGTTTGACCACCATTGGCTCTTTTCCAACCTGAACAATCCTATGTCAACTAACATTGCCTGTTGTCGAGAAAGGCGATGGCTAGGAATGTATGCGTAACACACGTCCTAACAATCTCAGTCGATGTCCTCGTCGATTGATTTCCCCTCCTTACCTAGCACTCGACACCTAACCTCAATATTACTCACCTTATTACACCTACCACATCCCACGGGAGGTAGAACGCAGACACCTATGATCAAAGACAGATAGCCGTGCTTTTCATGCCTTCCACTTTCAATGACCAGGTCTCACAGCCATAAACGACAACGGAGCGGACTGTTCAGCAGTACATACATCGTTTGGTCGATAGCCGGATATCACGTCTACACCAGAGACGGTGTAAGCTGGCATATGCGAAACTGGCCCTCTGTATGCGTGCTGAGTTTCAGTCACTTGATTTAGTCTGAGGATTAGTTTGGTCCCGCTGAAGTTTTCCTATTGAACTTCGTCATTTGCTTTGCTTGTAACTAGAGAGATAATGTCGCTTGTAACTGCTTAGTGTCTGGCTGAAATTTACACATTTCAAAGAAGTTAAACGGTGAAAATCTGAAAAGTATAAATGCATATTCGTCTATGAGTGTTTTGATTGTATTTCTCGTTTAAATATGTAAATCACTCACCTTTTCACCTAGTAAATCAAACTCCACACTTCCAGAAGATCCATCTGAAGAAAACGATAGTTGAACTGCATACAATAGCCAAAAAGGCATATGATCTTCTGAAGACATAATAGATGCCACCGTGACCACATGACCTATCCATAATAATATAATACAATATGCATCCAAATGCACAAGACTGTTAGGTCTTTGTTGAGAATGAAATGACTTCAAGTGACCAGACGCCTCCATATTCAGATATTTTAAAAGGCGTGCACGAGTCATACGAGCTTGTGGGAGTAGAAGTAACAAATCAATTTGTACTTGTTTGTCATTCATTTGTTCACTTACGAAATTTGAAGCATTTAAAATTTGTGAAAGAAAACATCCTAGTTGAATGGGTGGAGAGTTATCTAAATCTAATTCACAATTATTAGTATTAGCATTCATAAAATTGAATAAATTAGGAAAAAGAGCAGGTCTTTTCCTTCTATCACGAATGCCAGCAGAATTTACTTTCCGAGACGAATTACACTGTCGTGGAATAGACATTTCTTGATGAGAAGTACCATTAGGTAGGATGTCATTCGATTTTATTATTACTTTCTTTTGTTCTAACTCTTCGTCATTTAGTGCTTTAGAATCAGGAAGGGATTCTGTTTTTGTTGGAACAGGCTCACAACACAAAATATCTCCGTTGGACGGTGCTTCTTGATCATTTACAAGTTTTTTAACAGTGGGTGGACGATGTCGGCGAGTGTGCGGTGGTTGACTGAAGAGTTGTTCGGAGGGTTGCCAACCGAATAAATGACATAACTCACCACCACTGAATGCAAGATCAGGCTCTTGACGACTCCATAGACAAGCAAAATGACGTGAACGAAGTGCACGAAAATTAGAGATTGAAAAATTATCTTTTTCAATATTTTCAGGATGAATTCTCCAAACATTAGCTGTACTGTCAAAGGAAGCAGATAATAAGAGAAATGGATCGTGTGGAGACCAATCTAGACATGTGATTCTGTTGTAATGTCCTGCTAAACGAGCTAAACTAGTAGACAGTTCAATCGGCAGCTTACAGTATTCGCCTTGATTAAGGTAGTTGATTAATTGAATTTTGACATCTGTGACAGTGATAAAGGTTTCATTGGAACCTACAGCCAACCAGTAATGATCTCGTGACCAAGTTAAACAGTTAACACACTTCGAATGATTCACAATACGACAAATAAAGACAAGTCGTCTAGACTCCTTCTCCCTCACCTCCTCCTCACAATTTGATGAGTTTGAACGTAAGAAACCATAAATGTCAACTTCACCTGAACGATAACCAACAGCTACTAAACAGCTAAAAGTATCAGCAATTAGATCGACACCCGGTAGTTCAGATTTACTGACAAGACGGAATGATATCTCACTACGGATCAATGCTTTCCAGTCTTCATCTGTAGTACCCGGAAAACGGGGGAATTTTGTGCTAACATCAATTGGTGGACGACTGCATCCAAAATGACAGTAAATTTTACCCTTACTTATGCTGTAAACGTAGAAAGAAACCTTAGATGAGGCTTCGTTATCCTCGGTGGAATTCTCATCTTCTTGTGCAATTAAATGCGTTGTTGAAATGCTAGAATTATCAGATTTCGAATGATTGATTTCGCTAGTTCTCTCTTCACTTTTATTTGCCTTTCTACGATATATATCAGAAAATAGTAAAGGCCCCCAGGCAACTCGATACACAGTTGAACCAAATGCATACAGCTGCGGTTCAAGCTTTTGTGATTTCATTCTTCGTAGCTTATTAATATCTACAATCTCCACACAACCTGATTCAGTGCCACAAGCAATAATAACTGCGGTAAAGGATGACAAGACAGCGTGGTTATCGAAGATGATTTGTATCCTCGAGGTGATATTGAAACAAACTTTGTTTCTCTGTTTTGATTATCAGAAGAATTTCTTTCGCCAAACAATTCTGGTGCAGGAAACTTCCAAAATATGATGGAACCGTCTGAAAAACCTGCAACTAAGGGACCATTGCTAAATTCAGATTGAGCTAAAGAGCAAACACCTGCAGACATTGTAGGTACTTTAAGGACCACTGACAGGTTAGATCCTTCCACCAACTGCCAAACAATCAAAAATCTATCTTGACTCAAAGTGATTACCAGTCCTGGTGAATTAAGAAAGTAGTGCATTGAGAAAATTAGCATAGAATGTCCCTGACTGTCAAGCGACATACAGCTAGGCGTTCCTTTGCAATCTCAGTGAAATAATCCATCTCGTACACTTGAGAATAAAACATTCACTGAAGAATCACTTCCTGGTGTGTAGCAAGCAGATATCCATGGAGCTCCATTTTGTTCACTTCTCTCGTTATGTCGTCCAGCATTTCCACATTGTTGACGTAATTCACTGGGAACTTGGTAAGATGAAGTGCATTCTGAAGTGATGACATTCCATACCTATTCAGAGAAATCAAAACAAATACTACGTTAGCAAAAATGGTGTCCTACTGCATATGAATATACTAATATATTACTGAATAACAGACTCGTTTCAACACAGAACTTTGAATAGATGTGCAGCAGTTCGAGTTCCCGCACTCCACGTAGCACACACAGCATGACAACAAACTACAGATATATAATAAACAAAAGTGTGAGTCAGGGGAAAAAAACAGTAATCCGAAAGAACAATAGAGTTTCATTGGATATTTGAATAGTGTTAATAGAAGACGGAGATTATCTGGAAAATGTGATGTATTCCCGCTTTACATTTCGAACAATCTGATCCCTCACACATTTACTTGTCAAGTCGATATATATGAAAAAAATTATGGGCAATTAAATTAAACAGTGACGAAAAAGGATTTCAGAATGATTAGCACAACGTTTAGTAATCTAATCAAATAAGGATTACCAAGGTAGGTTAAGAGTAATAATAAACTGTTTTTGAATAGACGGGGGAGAATTAAGTTTATGAATAGCTATAGCTTCAGCGTATTCCAATAAGTGCCCTTGACCATTTTTTATAGATGACCTTAAAGGCTGAGTTAACATCAACCTTATGGTTAATCTTGATTAGATGTTTAGCTATAGACGAAGTCGGTAGTCTGACACCTGCATCTATTGGTTTTCCACAATTCATTTGTTTTTCAAACCATTCCAGGATATGCTCTCCCACCCTCACATACAAAGCACGATTACTCCTCCCTATGTATGTGTGTCCACACAGATACATGAAAAATATTGCTGGCTGGCTGGCTAAAACCAACTGTTATGGATTTTGTTGACTGGCGAAGTCGTGTTTTCGTTTCACCACCACTAGCTTTTTAGACCTCGCCAATCCTATGTCAGCTGGGTAAGATTGCCTGTCGACGAAGGCGATCGATGGCTAGGCTAGTATGCGTAACACCTTTCCTAGGCATATCAATCGATGCAACATCACAACCTCGTCGATTGTCTTCCCCTGCCTTTTCTTACCTAGAACTCGACAGATGCCTAACCTCAATACAATAATACTTACCCCATCATACCATACCACCTAACACGGGATGTAGGTAAAACACAGACACGTATGATGAAAGACAGCTAGTCAGGCTTTTCATGTCTTTCACTGTCAGTGGTCACGTTTCACTCACATATATAAAGGAGTAGGTGGGAGTCAACTGGTGAGCAGTTTACACGTCCTTTGGTCGACAGTCAGCCAGATATCACGTCTACGCGAGAGATTGGTTTAAGTTGGCAGGCGGATGCCAAACAAGTCTTCTGTATCCATACTGAGATTTCGTCAGCAATGAACGTGCTGGGACTGGCTAATGGAACTTTCCAAATAAGTGGAGTGGTCAACACGCTCTACCACTTCACTCCTACCTATCTTTAAGCTAGGAATCTATGTAGTGCAGCCCTGTAGTATGACAAGAGCGAATCGCATGCCAAACATTCGACGACTGATGCTCAAGGTGTTTAGAAGACTCTGTATTTTTCCAGCGTCTTGATCTACGAAGGATGACTACATGATCCACATAGTCATGGTAACAAGATAATCTGAGTCGCTGAAGTCAGTCAGGACTAAGTCCATTAGTACATCTACGATGAAATTAAACAGAAATGGGGATTTCAGCATACAACTTTACATAGTAGTACCGATAGAAGTTTGTTGCCACACTATATGTAGCTCAAAAAGTTAGAGAAAAAAACAAAGAAACATTCAAGGGAATTATAATGTGCAGAAATGCACGGGAGAAAGAATATCATTAACATGGGAAAACATAAACGTTTAATGGATAAGAGGCATTTGTTCAAATTTCTCTACAGGAATACAACTAATAGAAACGAAACTATTCAATCCCCTCAAAGTTTAGGAATACGATTACTAGAACGACAACATGACATACTTTAAAACACGAGTGAATACGAAGTAGGAACTGTCGGCTAATAGAAGCAGGAATAATCATAATGCCGAAGAAAGTGAAATTCCCCTGGGAAATTAGAGGGAGAATTTAGTAATGATACTGACATTTTTGTGCGTCGGTGGCACAGAGCTAGAGTGCTCGCCGACTACGCAAGTGGTCCGGGGTTCGATCTCCGGCTCACGGACTCCTTTACCTCGCTAAGCCAGTAGTGAGACTGGTCAGGAGGGAAGGTTGGGCATGAGGCTAGCAACCCCATCCTGTAAAAATAAAAACTTCAAGCCTCTAGCTTGAAGCCCTATGTTCCAGTGGGAACGTAAATGAATAAAAAACAGAAAATAAAAAACTTTGAGATGGTCGTTAGCCACTTTGTGTTGTCAGAAGTGTAAGCATATTTAAAGTGTGGAGTCAGAATAAATACTTAATTAGTTCATTTATAATGTTTCTTGGCTTCAAAAGGCAAACCGAATAAGAAAAATACAGTGCATCTACCTAAGAAGATCGAAGATCGAGAGTGCTTCAACCAATTTTACCATAGTCGATGACTGAAAATTCCACATTTATCTGCAAACATATGCAACCACTAGAATTGTAAACAAATGCCGTTTAACCTTTAAAGTTATAGTTGTTTTAAGTCAAAATCTGCCCATCACATGTCCAATTACTAATCAATAAAAGGATTTACGAAAAAATGACGTAACGACTCGCTATGTTTTCACCCACATTATCGTGCATCGTGTCTGATAATAATATGAAAAATATCGCTGAACACAAGATGAAATACCTAGAAATATCTGTCTAGTTTACATGGATAAACATACCCCTAATAAATAGCATCATTTAAATATTAGGAAACATGGAATCAGCTATTCGTTAAACACTGTGCATTAATGATATCATATGCTGGACAAATTCATTTGCAACTAGATCTCATCAGGCTTAACTCTAATATACATAGGTTTACAAATAAAAATTCAAATATAAACCAATCATGGTGTTTTGTCTATAGGATAGTAAGATGGTGAATATAAATTGAGCAATTAGTCATAATAGTAGTAATAATAATAATAATAATGGTCTTATCAATAATAAGGATGAAAAAGTGAGGCAATCTGTGATAACACAAATAATGAAAAAACCAGCATGATTAATCAAACAAATGTTCAGGTGGAAGTAGTCAATAAAGGCTAGTAAAAACAAATGAACCGATTCAGTAATGCTAGATTGTAAGGGAAGTAAGTGAGACACTTTTTTTAATAAAGATGTGATAAGATTAAGAGATGATAAGAAAGGGGTTGAAAATATAAACAAGGGGTGGTGTAGAAGTCATTAATTGGTTGTCTTAATAGGCATAACTGCACCTGTCGTGACAGTTATGTTGGGCGTACTACTACACAACTTAGCCAACGTGAACACCTCCTATCGTGGTTTGGCAAAGGACAGACAAAACAATCCGTAGCTCAATTTTGTCACATTTAATTGATAGTGGTCATGTGGTGGAGAAAACGAGAGCCTTCAAAGTAATTCATCTTATCCTACCGAATCTTTCCAATAGACTTCGTATTCGTTTACTGGACACAGCTGAGGCGATAGGCATTCGAACTATTAAACCTAAACTATGCATTCATTCAAAAGAAGTTTTAACAGCCATTATCCTTCCCTTGGCCTATTAAGATATAACCAACTAATGACTTCTACACCACCCCTTGTTTATATTTTCAACCCCTTTCTTATCATCCCTTAATCTTATCACATCTTCGTTAAAAAAACGTGTCTCAATTACTTCCTTTACAATCGAGCATTACTTCCCGACCGAAAGCTGCTACCTTGACGTGGTGGTCGGGCTTGAACACCGCAATAACCCAACAAGCTATACTGGTTGAGACTTATGTCGCTTGAGGTCCTACCATGCCAGAAAGGTTGTTTGGATAGCGGTTAGACAAAAAGCAGTTGCCCAACCCAATGCTATGACTCAAAGTAAATCACCAAATATCATGCCGGATCGGTCGGGGCCCGGATTAACAACGACCGCGCTTCCTGCTGCCGTGTCACAGGGCAGAAGTGATAAATATGCTACTGAGACACACCAAATGAAAAAGAACAAACAAAAACAGGCCGCGTGTGACCGGCCTCAAGCAGTTGTCCCCTGGGCTCTGCAGTCACGCAACCAATTTCCACGGTGTGGGCAGCCGGGAAGTAACAATCGCCCTCACAATCCGAAATGCACGCGAAACCTCTCTAATCCTCACTCATCTTTGTCTTCATTTTCATCTCTATTATCTTGCCTTCCTTCTACTAATGCAACTCCTCTACTTGATGGCTCTTCACTTCCTCTTCACTCTGTGTGCACTGAAAACGACGGAAGCCAAAAAACCACTACTGATAATCTCCTAAAGCCACGCCACCAATTTCATATAGGAGCATTTAATGTTAGGACACTTTGCCAAATAGGACAGCAAGCATCACTAGCCAAGACTCCGACATCCCGAGCAATTGACGTATGTTGTGTTGCAGAAACACTCATACAAGACCCAAGTGTGGTTATTCACCTAACCCCACCTGGCCAACAGGATGAATCTGCAAAATTCACCTTGAGAGTGTCAGGAGATACCACAGCTAGCTCACGAGGATTAGCTGCTGTTGGGATAGCTTTGAGTACTAGGGCAGAAAAGACATTACTTGACTGGATCCCGGTAGATAGCTGAATGTGCTGTCCGTCTGAATGGATCAGTAAAAAGGAGAAAGGACTGCACTACTCGCCGATGCCTTTTCGTAATCTCCGCCTACGCCCCCACTGACTGCAGTTCGGATGAAACGAAGCATGAGTTCTACCAAAAGCTGTCTAGTTTGCTGCGAAAGGCTAAACGCTCAGATATAGCCGTTTTAGCTGGTGACTTTAATGCTCAAGTAGGGAAATTGTGTCAATCTGAGAAGGATGTCGGTGGCACATACGGAATTCCGTGCCAGCGAACCGACAACGGTGACTGTCTCCTACAGCTCTGTTCAGATAATCATTTGTATCTTGTAAGCACTAACTTCAAACACAAGGAGAGACACTGTTTGACCTGGCGACCTCCATCATCAAACCAACGCTGGACACAAATAGACCACATAGCAATAAGCTATCGTTAGCGTGGGTCGGTAGGGGATTGTCGCTCCTTCTGGAACACGTGTGTAGATAGCGATCACGCGCTGGTTCGCGTTCGTCTGTGCTTACGACTGAACGGACGTAGGAAACAGCTAGCGGTAAACCCATCACGTCCCCAGCTCGATCAGGAAACTAAGTCCCTATTTGAGGAAGAACTAGCTAAACACATCTGAGTTCGACAGCTGCGCTCACCCTGAAGAAGCCTGGAAGAATATTCAGTCAGTCATAGATGCAGCTGTAAAAGCTATGAATAAGGTAAATCCAAAGGTGGGTAAAAACCATTGGATTTCGACTGCCTCATCCGAACTGATAGATGCTAGAAGACTTATTCCGGCGAGCTCCGAATTCAATGAGGAGCGAAAGCTGCACAAAAGGAAACTTACGAAAAGTCTCCGCAAGGACTGTGAACAGTGGTGGTTGACAAAGGCGAAAGAGATGGAAAAAGCATCGGCGATAGGCAACACCAGACAGCTATTCAGGCTTATCAGGGAAACAGGTGGGAGAAGGCAAATCTTAAGTGAGACTATTTCTGAGAAAAATGGCTTCTTAATTAGCTCTCAGGATAGACGCCTTGAACGCTGGAAAGAACACTTTGAGGAACAACTTAACTTGCCTACAGCCACACTGAGCTCCCCGCCATCCAGCACACACCCGAATGGGATATAGACACTGGCCCGCCGTCTGTAAGTGAGGTCACAAAAGCTATCTGCAGTCTGAAACGAGGCAAAGCGGCAGGACCCGACAGAATTATTCCGGTGTTTAAATATGGGGTGACATACTAGTATATAGTTTAACTAAGGTACTAGGTAACGTCTGGGAATCAGAGACGGTTCCATCAGACTGGGGTAAGTCACTTATCATACCAATATTCAAGAAGGAAGACAAGTCGTCATGTGATAATCATGGGGGGATCAGCTTAACGAACATAGTCTCTAAAATCCTAGGCTCAGTAATCATGAACAGACTAAGCCGAACTCGGGAGGAACAAACGAGGGAAAATCAAGCGGGCTTTAGGCCAGGTAGAGGGTGCAAAGATCATACCTTCACTCTCCGACAGATCCTAGAACATAGACACACTTTTAGGCGTCCAACAATTACCATATTTCTTGACTTGAAGGCGGCCTTCGATTCCGTGGATCGAGAGGTACTATGGCAATGTTTGACTGTGAAGAGAATGCCGAGAAAGTACATTGCACTAATCAAGGCACTCTACTCAAACTCACTTAGCCGTGTAAGGGCTTAAGGGGAATTGTCCTCTGAATTATTAACAACCAGTGGTGTCCGTCAGGGTTGTCCACTTTCCCCATTCCTGTTTAACTTCATCATAGATATGCTAATGGAAGTATCCTTAACTGAACTTAACGACTTAGGAATCGACTTGTTACCAGGCAATAGTCTTATAGACTTAGAATATGCAGACGACATAGTGCTGTTAGGGGAGGATGCTGACAAAATACAGAGTCTTCTGAACACCTTGAGCAGCAATCTTCGTATGTCTGGCATGCGATTCGCCCCTGTAAAATGTAAGATGCTGCTACAGGACTGGACTACGTCAACTCCTAGCTTATTGATAGTGATAGGGAGTGAAGTGATAGAACATGTTGACCACTTCACCTATTTGGGAAGTTGTATCAGCACCAACAAATTGATTGGTGACGAAACCTCACCTCGGATCCAAAAAGCTCGGGCTGCTTTCGCTAACTTACACCATCTCTGGCGTAGGCGTGACATCCGACTACCAACCAAGGGACGTGTGTACTGCTCAGCAGTTCGCTCCGTCCTTCTCTATGGCTCTGAAACATGGCCAATACGAGTTGAAGACATGAAAAGGTTGACTGTTTTTGACCACAGATGTTTACGATCTCTCTCTCTCGCGTTAGGTGGTATAATAAGGTAAGTAATGTTGACGTTAGGCGTAGAGTGTTGGGCAAAGAGGGAAAATCAATCGAAGAGGCTATTAAGTTACATAGATTGAGATGGCTAGATCACGTGCTGCGCATGCCTAACCATCGCCTCCCCCGACGGGCATTACTAGCTGATATAGGTGCAGGTTGGAAAAGAGTAAGTGGTGGCCAAACAAAAACATGGCCTCATCAATCCATGAAATCCTTGACAGTTAAACTGAGTCAGGTAGGGAGATGCAAACTTCCGGGTTGGGGCCCTCGGGACTCTAAGAACCAATGGCTGGAGACAATAGGTGACATGGCTCAAAATCGTTGTCAATGGCTGTCGCAGATGTATTCAGTCTCTGTAATCTTTCATATTCCTTTCTACCATTACTCATTCTGTTTCACTCTTATACTTGTCAAAACTCTATTGATTCTCTTCACTCATCTTCTTGTCTACCTTTGTGTGCTATTTGGAACGCGGCAACTCGACCTGCTTCACTTCGGTGCCAAGTTCTATGTTGAATCCAGCCAGCTAGCATTACTTAATCGGTTCATTTGTTTTTACTAGCCTTTATTGACTACTTCCACCTGAACATTTGTTTGTTTAATCATGCTGGTTTTTTCATTATTCGTGTTATCACAGATTGCCTCACTTTGTCATCCTTATTATTCATAAGACCATTATTATTATAATTGTTATTATTATCATTATTACTATTGTGACTAATTGCTCAATTTATATTCACCATCTTATTATCCTATGGACAAAACACCATGATTGGTTTATATTTGAATTTTTATTTGTAAACTTGTATATATATTAGAGTGAAGCCTGATAAGATCTAATGGAAAACAATATTATTCTCTTAAATGTGTTGTTCTAAATCTTACTATGGGAATATTTAATGTATTGAATTCTTTGTTCCACTTACTACTATTCATAAAACAACAACGATAAAAGTCATCATCATACATAACGTAAAAATGTTAAGAAATAATTAACAATTTGATGTCACTGGGTTGTAATCGGACTGGGAAAGAAGCCTAAATTTCCTTAAGATTCTAGGTGCCGGCGTCTAAGTGGCATCCTGTAGACTGAGACAGCTGCTGACGAATTAATTAGTTACTATGCCTTAGTTTCATATATACATGAATATTGACTATAGGATTCAGTTTCCGTTTACAGACTCTTAAATACTCGTGTCTTAAACTGATAACACAGTCAGACTACATAATTTACCTGTTCCTAAACGACAAAAATATCACTCCAAAAATTTAAGTAATAAATAAAACTGAAGGAATGTAGGACACATAGAACAGTATTGATGCCTACTACGAAATAACTTGAGTAGTATTTTTTTTATTGTAGCTTGACTCCACACAGTATTTTTGATACAAGTATGGAATTTTCAGCATGTGATATCGGTAGCCCAAATTTCGAAGGCCAACCATTGATATCAGGTGTGCATCGGCCGGGGAGCGAACCCCAGACCATGTGTATGATCGGCTATGCCACCGACACAGAAAAAACGAACGCGAAACAGGTCACACTATTCCACTATAGTATTCAAACGAGAATGGAGATTTGATTGGTTAGTTGTGAGTGTAACTGCAAATTATCATTGATAATGAGTGTAAACTAGTTGTATCTCAAATCAATACACACTTAGACATCTGAACATGTTATCCATGCATAAAAATATTTTTTTATAATGCGTAGTACTTAACTTATAATGTGAGTTTTCCACACCTCGTGTCAGGTGAACGCAATGATATATATTAAAAGGGATTGAAAAACATGATTATTTATTGACTGGACAAAAACATAAACGTAAAAATCAATGAATACTCGACATTAAAACCTTACACTGGCAGGTTTCACTCAGCATACATACTTGTCATCAGAATTTGAAACAAAAACATCGCCCATCTTTTTGACAAGCTTGACGAATGGAATCTCATGAAGCCTGCACTACGAATAACTGGCTGGAACTTATTTCAAACAACAAGAGCTAAGCAAGTGATCTACTATATCGCACATAACACATATCCCATAGATTGCCGCACTGTAAAAGCTGCAGCGTACAACCATTTCTACATAGTTAACTGACACGTCTTTTAACAGTAAGACGGCCAATTTAGTGAAGTGAAACTCCCACGAAGTAGAGAAAATATTAAACTGAAATTTGATTGAAGACTTTGTCGAACACTCACCTTAACCATCTGACCACGTCCACATGTAAGAATCTCAGGATCTGACGATGACGCAGAAGCACTTGAGCGCCATACAATATGACAGATATCCGCCTCATGAGCATAAAAGCGGGTCAACTGTACGATGCCTGCAGTTGAAGAAATATCCGACGGTTTAAATGAATAAACACACACAATTCTTTTTTTGTGACCGACAGCAACTCGCGAAATGGAAGGAACTATTGCAGATTTCTCCGATGCGCACATCACAACACAATCGTTTTCAAATTTTCTAGATACATAGTAAGATTTGTTTGTCTCACAGTCGTTAACAACCCATACTAAAAGCAACCCTTTATCTGTGCCCACGAAGTTGAATGACTCATTTGCAGAGTAGGAGAAACGGCTGACAGCTGTTGGATTGATATTTCCCCGCACTTTTTGTATATTAAACTCGGTCTCCAGCATCCATTCTTGACTGAAATACTTCCAACGTCGAACCAAACCATCAAGGCCACAAGAAACTACACGCACACAAGCACACTCATCAAAGGTTACTGCCGATATCTTGTCTTGACGGGGTATTATCTGGCCCACACAACTCCGCGAATATTTCTGTTGATTTTCCAAGTTCGTTTCTTGTTTAATGATGAAAACGTGTACATATGAACGAGAGGTAAATGCAACAAGAGCACGTCCTCCATTGTTATGGGTTTGACAATTTGTGACGGCCACTACGTTTGACTGGAACCAGTCTGGTGAACCTGTCAAAACATATTTGGCTATTTTGCGATATTCCTGAACTACGTAAATTAGTGTCAAACTGAACTTACCTTCAATGTGTAATCAAAATCAAAATCATACCAAGCGCTAGTGTAACACAAAGGTTACAGTCCCACCAGTTTCAATATCCAAGATACTCGAGCGTTTGAACTTACTCAGATTTCAGATTAATGGGTTGAGGATAGAAGGCTTGGTGCCTATGGTTATACTTTTCCAGGAAAATTTTGTGGCTGTCCAAACCCTTCTTGAATGAATCAGTTGAGGTTGAGACACCACTTCTTTTGGGAGTCGGTTCCAAGAGTTTATGACTCGGTGTGAGAACCAGTACTCCACAGAGCTATGGTTTCTCCTTGGCTTTTGAACTCTCTTGCCATGTCCTCTAAGGTGTTCCGACCTGGTGGGAAGAAAGAGAGAGAATAGATCAAGTCCATTGTCATTATTTAAAATCTCAAACAATGTAATTAAATATCCTCTCTGCCTACAGTATAGTAGGGAGAAGAGATTTAAACTGTCGAGTCTTTCCCAGTATGATAAATTAGTCATGGTAAGAATCATACGTGTTACCTTCAACTGAACCCTTTCTAGAATATGTGAGTCCTTCTATGACAAGGACCGGCTGTCTGTATACAGTTCTTTGGTCTTGATCTTGATCTCACCAGAAATGTGTATAAGGAGGTGACTATATCTGTAGTGATTCTAGAAAAGACTCTGCGGGTTGCCCGTAAGGATCTGAAACTACGTGCAGCCACAGCGTGACAGTGTGCTGTAGTTTATAAGTCGTGGCTAACTATGACACCTAAGTCCAAGTGAGTCTGAACATATGGGAGTGTTGTTCCCTCTGGTTCATTCAGCTGATGCTTGCTTGTCCAATGCGCATGGTTGCACATTTTGCTACACTGATAGGGAACATCCATTCTCTGGACTACTCTAACGATTTGCTGAGGTCTTCTTGCAACGTGAGCGTATCAGCTTTTTGTGGTAGGTAATTCCCCAGAATGGTTGGCCACAGCATTCATCACTGAATACTAGATTCTGACCCTCACTGTTTTAGTCGATTTGTTTAGCTGAAGGCTTCCGGTCAAACATTCATACCACCTGGCACACCGTCGTGTTACGTTTGTTCGTTCATGCACGATTCCTAGCTAGTTAAGCCATCATCTCACACTCTGATTTCGTCCCGAAATATATAATTCATAATTTTGACGATCAATTCTGGTGTTTTGCTTTGCCTTTGGTCTACGCGGAACGAACACTATAGAAGTTGTGGGTATAAGATCTTGCGTTAGTCTACTACGTACTATCCTTCGAACATCATAACTCTTGGCCTCCAAGAGCTGTCTCCAAATTTTTAAGTCATCTGCGTATAGGACTATTGGGGAATCGGTGAGCACAGATTGACCCATTGATATAAAAGTAAAAAAGAGAGGCCCGAGTACTGTGCCATGTGGCACTCCGCCACGTACTGTTGTCCTGGAGGAGAGTTTTGAGTTGGACTTGACTCCCTCCCTCTGTCTCATGCCTATGAGGAATTCCCAAGCCAGTTTAGTAAGCTGTCTTTGATACCAAGATCTTCCAAATCTATGAGTAGTCTTCCGTCAGGAACTTTTTCGAAGGCTTCGCTGAAGTCTATGAAGACGACGTCAACGGGTCTTCTATCGTCCCTTGACTTGAACCGGCTTTCTCCTGCAGTGAGAAGACTTGATAGGCATACGAGAGGTTTCCTCGGAAGCCATGCTGTTCTCTGGATTGCAAGTTGTTGTTTCCCGGACATGCGAAAATATCTTTGTTGATGGTTATTTCCAGTGTCTTGATTAAGGTGATGGTACGATTAATAGGCCTGTAGTTTGAAAGGATTTGTCTTGACCCTGCTCTGTGGATGTGAAGGGGGTTCCTGCGGTGTCTTTACAGTCGCGCAGTAACACTGCATTTAGGAGCGAAGCTTGAAGACCGTGGTCAATGAACCGTGTATGCGCGCTGATAACTCCTTGAGAAGCCTTGGATGAAGATTATCAGGACCCATTGATTTCTCTGCATCTACTTTCATTAGGCAGTTGAGCGCGATGTCTTGGTCAACATCAATGGAGACTATACCGTGTTCCTCTGATGCAGCCAGAGCTGATCTTATGAGCAGTGACGATTCTTGTGTAAATACTCGGGAGAGGTAGTCTGTCATTGCTTCTGCTTTCCCTTGATCTGCTTTCGATTGTGTCGTTGTCAATAGTCAGATTTGGGACCCGATTGAATGTCTTATTCCTGAATTTTCTTAGGTTGTGCCATTGAATTTTGAGCCATATGTGCCTCGGACATTATCATTGATTGGCAGATTTCTGCAATAGCTTTCTTCCCAGCAATGTTGTATAACTTTGTGGTCTGAGGAGTCTCAAGTGTGGTTTACGGGTTCCAGCATTTGTGTTTACATCTGAGTGATTTACAGATCCCTCGATTTATTCATGGGGACTGTGGAGGAGACAATATTTCCCACCCTTTTGGACACACCAAGGGATGGACGCTTCGGTTACCCAGTCGTTAAGTTGTTTAGACTGTTTCCACGCGGCTTCTACTTGAAGCTCTGGGTTTATGTACAAGTTCACTGAGTTGGCTGCTGACACCACTGTATTTGTATCAGCTTTCCAAATGCTTGGTCGAACTGGGGTTTCGGCCCATGATTCTGCTGCTGTGAACCTAAAAGTAAGCACAGCGTTACCACTTCTTACTAGAGGACGACGATGTTGCATGAGATCCACATCCCCACCATGGGAGAACACTAGGGCCAGGGTTGGAGAGGAGCACTATGAGTCATAGCGCGTGCGTGGTCCTCATGACATGTTGGATTAGGGCTAGCAAGATACTAGATCCCAGAAGTTTACAATCAAAGTAGTTGTCAGAAGATTGCATTGCAAGCCTTGTTCCACTCAACTGTTGGGGCACTGAAGTCGCTGACCACGAGACTTCGACATTTTGATGTCCAGAAGCCTAGCTTATCTATTTGGAAGTCATTTGCACTGCAGTCAGGACGACAGTACATAGCAATGAAGTCAATGTCTTGGCCTATGCATTTAAGTCTGCAGCATAGAAGTTCGCACGACTCACTTTCGTGAGCGACTGCTTCGATACTACTCACCGTTAAGCATTTCTTGAGGTAGATAACTAGGCTAACTCCTCTGCGGTTTAGTCGGTCCACCCAATACACTTCGAAGTTGTCAGTGACATCGGGTGTGAGCCATTCCTCTGTGATAATAATTACATCCGGGTTTCCAGAGTCCATCATAATTTCGAGCTCAGTCCGTTTATTCAACAGGCTGCGGGCATTTATGTAGCAAGTCTTTCACTCGGTTTGGTGCTTCTGTGGCCTACCCAAAAGGTCTCAGGATCATCAAACGTCGAACTCTGATAACTTGAAAACTCCTAATCTTGAGGTTTTTTCAATGTCAGCCACTCAATTCTAGAGCCGCAGACTGTCTTTTAGTAATAATAGTATATTCTCATTTTTGTACATGAGGGACGCCAGTTTACAGGCATCATCAATTCGATAAATTACACATACGATTAGTAAGTATAGTTAGTAATGATAATATAATAGGGTACATATTTATTCCTACAAATGTAGGACACACAAGTTGTATAGGCATGGATAAGTATTATTTAAGTGACATTTAAATTACATGATTTACGGTTAAACAACATGGTCGCTGTCATTTTATCTTTATGGAAAAGAAAAGGCGTTCAGCAAAGAGTTACTCTTTTCGGCGATATCATTCTCAAGCTGTGCAAACCGCAAATTTAGAGTAATTTTCCTTGGCAACAAAAGGAATATTTCCAAAGATGTGTTAATGCACTTGTTAATTTTTGGCAACAAATTACGTAATTTAGAAGGCGTTAATCGGTTAGAAACTAATATAAAGTCACAAAAGTAGGTTGGGTGACGTAATCTAATTGCTAGGGTTCAGTGAAAAATGAATGAGAGTCAAGTTAATAATCTGAGTAGAATTCACTTGAAAATGAATGATAGTTAAGTTAATAATCTGAGTAGAATTCACTTAAAAATAAACGAAAATGAAGTTAGCAACAGTCGTCATGAAGGTAGAGATTTAATAGTGGGTGGGGGTTTGTGGGAAAGTCTGATAACCAGTGACTCAATGGAACACATCAAGAAATATAAATATTTTGACTTCGCACTAACAAAAAATCCCAAGTATGCGTTGGATGGATTACAGATACTTGGGAAAATAAATAAAGCTTGAAGTCAGTTCCTCATAAAACAATAAATGCGTCTTACAATAATATATTCCCACTTTATGCACATGAGGGACTCCAGTTCACAGGCATCATCAATATGATAATAATGCACATACAGTTTAAACATGTTTAAAATTTTTCTCCTTTGGCGGTACGTTCGAAATTGGTGACATTTTTGCACGTGTTTGCTCTGATGTTCATTTACTGCTTATAGTCATATAATCCTTGAAATTATGGTCCAAATTTCTAAAAAACGTGTTCGTAGAAACACAATTGTTTTAGATAGTGGCTCAACCTCGGTTATAACAGCATTACCACCCTTTAATACAGCATTAACTACTAGCACACAAAATGGCTTGAGTGCGATTCTCACTCCTGTGATACAGGTGAAAGATGTTCTGTTAGAGAACTCTGGGTTCTGTAAATTAAACCTCCTTGTGAAAGATATCCAGAGGCATGTAAGTGAACTTCAGGAAAAATTAGGTCAGTTTGATAGCATTTCGCTGCCAATCTCAAATATCACGGAGAGCCGTTCTGATATTGGCCAGGTTAAGTCTTTACTGGATGTATTATTATTATTATTAAGTCAATAGGTTGAGTAGTTCCGGCCCCCAAC